TTTGTTGGTTTTTGGCAATAGAAATTTTTTTGGTCTATGGCAATGGAAATTTTGGCATAAAATTATAAATAAAATTTTTTATATCTTTTATGTTGATTTATTCTATTTGTTAAAAAGAATATGTTTATAATAATAATAATATTAATAATAATAATAATAATATAAAAGAATATGTTTATAATAATAATAATATTAATAATAATTACCATAATTATTATTATGGTAGAATCGAAAGAACTAAGAAATTGCACTACAACATATTAAATCCAGAAAAAGGTTCAATTTAAAAAAAATATATATTTTATTGTTCTCATTATTTTTTTATTTAATTATTTTTTTCTTTATTTGATTGTTATTACTTTATAAAACAATATACAAAACCAATAATTATCTTTTATGTACTAATTATTTATTATTTTACGATATTTCGGGATCCAGAATTACTAAAACTAAACTAATATTTAAAAAAAATCAATCTAAATATTCTGTGAACGCTATAATTCATGATTTTGATTGTAGAAACCGAAAATACTTTCAGAACCCCATTTTCCGAAAATATTGCACAGTGTTATTTTTAGACTGTTAACTACAGTCTAAAAAAAATAAAAAAAAAAGTATTCTAATCCTGCCTAAATTAAATTTAAATGACGTAAGAAAAAGTTTATAACTCGCTAATAAAGAGAAGTGCAGCAATATACAAGACATATTTTTGTAGAAAATTGTATATGCCCTACAAAAAAAGTATTGCCCTACAAACAAAGTATTTTATGTTTTCGTCATAAAATCATCCATTTATATGATATTTGAGTTCAAAGTGTTTTGTATGCATGCAATCAAATAAAAAAAGCAAACTGCAGTCTAAATCAATTTTAACAAAATCCAATGTCGATTATTCCCGCCTAAATGATGAAACTTTTTAGAAAAACTTTATAGCTTAGTAATGGACATGGAACAATGTTGTATTAAAAATTATAATAATATTATTATTTATTGTAAAAATTTTCATAATTGGTAACAGTTCGGTAAAGCCGATCTTCCACTCCCCTATGTAACATGTTGATACATCAATACATTCATGTATCACTTAATTATTTTCCAATGATGAACATAAAGATAAATTGCAATTTTACGAAAAAAATATTATTGAAATAAACAATCCCACGTTTAAAACGTCCATTTCGTACATGTTTCCATGGCACTAAAATTTAAATTTTAATGATCTTTTAAATACACATTGCCCTAAGGCTTTAGGGCGCTTTAGTCACGGACTGAAGTTAGTTGACAGTTGTCAAATGTCATACAATCGTTAAAATAAAGTGCCCTTCTTGTGAAATAATACTAAATGTGAAAACTATTTTATTATCTTATTATAATACAAAAATACAAAAGTATTAAGTAGTTTCTCAACGCCAATATTGAAAAAGTTAATATGTTAATATGATTTCGACAGCAGCACGGTCTTATATAAGACTGTGGTCGGCAGTAAACTAGATTTAACTGATAAAGCCATTCAAATTTTTACAAACATTCTCTTTGCTTTCACTGAAAAAAACTGCTTTTATATCGGATTTAAACGGCTGTCTATTTTCAAGGAATAAATTTACACAGAAAAATTTGTCATTTGCCGACGGTAATACAGATTCCTATTCTTACGGTTACTCTTTTTTTGTATGGATGTTGTTCTACACAAATATTTAATTCAAATAACTTTTAAATAATAAAAAGTATTTGTCATAGAAAATGTATGGTATTCAACTCGTTTATAAAGTTTTCTAGATACTCATTTAATTAAACGCTGGATTGTGCCTAAATTAAATTCGTGACTAAAATGGCGTTTATCAAACTAGTTTAAAACATCTTTTATGTGCTTAATTTTTGTTTTGAGCAATTCCACGTTATTCGGCAATTTTTTGTCTTCGTGTCCGTAATAATGAAAAATTTTAAGTAAAAGCTCCCGTAATTAAATTACTATTGCAATTGTAACTATATATAGTAAAGCAATATATTGCAAACATGTTTATTATCCTTGTAATAATTAAGCTTAAGCTTATAAGCTTAATAATAACGGTAGTTTTTACTCACAATTTTTTATTATTACGTACCCGACAAAAAGTCACGAGTAACGTGGAATTGCTCTTTTAATAATTTCTTTAATATTATAGGTAATGTAAGGAGGACTTTTGCATTTAAATGTTTTTGTTTTTAATTGTGCAATGCACATGCACAATGTGCATGTTTGTCAAAAACTAAAATTACATACCTAATTATTATACACAAGGCACAAAAAAGGTACCTATTTTAAAATGATGATCGGAGGTCAAAGTTTTAAATAAATTAAATAAATAAAAAAAATAAAAGTATTGTCATTCCCGAGTAGCGTGGAATGGCTGAATTATTATATAAATATTAATATTAAATATTTTAGTTTTTTAAATAAATGACAAATTTTAAACCCCTAGCACCTTTTTGTATGCGCCCTGTGTATAAAAAGTAAAAATGACTAATACCTTGGAATATAATTGTAACAATCATTGATTGAATAAGGTGGAACGGTATTTGCCTTTGGGCTATTGTTGCACTATGTCTATTTACGGCAATACAAAGATCGTGTTTTTGTTATTATAACCTATAAATTTGGTTGAAAATAAATTAAAAATGTAAATGTTTTAGCCTATTTGAAATAATTTGACAACATTTGACTGAATATAGTTTAGTTTTTAAACGACATTTTTAGGGTATACCGAAAAAATTACGACTTTAAAATGTCATCTTATCAAAAAGCGTTATTAGCTTTGTTCGCGGAGCTCATCCGTGATCAATCCGCGACAACTGCGCATGCGCACTGGCAATTTTAGCGTTCGCGGTGTAAAAATCGGCAACATTTGACATTTGATCACTCGTTCGCGGAGCCTTCGGGACCAGTTTCGAACTAATTACTGACAAGTCAAAACGATCCGAGGATTTTAGCATGTACTAGCTGTCAGACATGCGTATTGTTCATTATTGTTTAAAGTTTATTTTAGGTTATATGTTCTATATTGTTTTTAATTAAATTTTTAAACGAAAACGTAAGTTGAAATAATTATTTTTTACTTGCATTGTTCATTTCCTTGCTTATTTTATAGATGAGTGATCATCTATCATCCAGTTATGAAGATTTAGAAAATAGTTTAGATTTAATTGAAGTTCCTAAAAATACTGCATATTTTGAAGAAATTGTTCCCATGATTGTTCGATGATCAGCTATTTAGGGAGCATTTTCGAGTTAGCAAAGAGATGGTTGATGATTTAGCAGAGCGATTTAGCAATTCTGAATAGGGTACTATAATTATCAGGAAGGAGATTCCCCAAAAAGTTTTGTCACAAAACAGCTGACTGATGGTTGCGGTTAGAAACGCGTTCGCGGAGATTTGTTAATTCTTGATCGGTTCCGAATCGCGCATGCGTACCATGGTTCGTGATTATTTACCCTATACAGATACGGAACTAGTCATGGATGGGCTCCGCGAACAAAGCTATTTCTATTTTCTTAGTACATCCTAAAAATTCGGTTAAAATTAAAAAAGTTTGACTAGTTGAGCGCCAAAATATTAAAAGTGTTGTAAACGGCAAAATATTATTTTAAAATCGATTTATTTTATAGGAAGTGGTAAATAATATATTTATCACATTTCTATATACATAAAATATTAAATAAAACATTAGTCGATAATAAAACTAAGATTAGATGTAGATATTCATTTCAGTTTTATTATAATTGAAGTGATAAAATTTCTGTTTCTGGGATTTATTATACCCGCTAATAAAAAATATTACTTTTAATAATGTGAATGAAAACTAATTATTTAATTTGTATGCTTAAAAATTAACAAATTTTATTTATAATGTATTCCCGCTAACAAAACATATTATTTTTAATAATGTAAATGAAAACTAATTATTTAATTTGTACTTATGTTTAAAAATTAATTTTATTTATAATGTATTCTGTTCTGTGACCCATTTAATCCAACACAATAAAAAAACAATACAAAAGTCACAATAGGTTGATAGGTACACAATTATTTTTACAAAAACATTCACGATGAATCGAAAATGAAAACACAATCAAACACCAACCCACGTAACATGCCCATATAAACCTAAACAAACTGTTTGTCAGGCCAAAAAGGAAGCTCGAATGACCAGCGCTTCATTAATTAAAATATGATGTCACTATTCTTAATTTTTTTATCAAACAGTTTTGTGTTTGTTTTTTTATGATTTGGGTAATTTGGTAAACTAATATAAGACATTTATATTTTATAATTTTGGCGCCCATTCCGTTAAACTTTTTTAAATTCTCTACAACTTTTACAATTTTTATTTAGTTTTAACAAAGTATACTAAGAGAAGTACGCTTTTTCTTTTGATGGCATTTTAAAAGTCGTAATTCGGTATACTCCAAAATTATAGTTAAAATCCAAGATTTTTTAAGACTGTTTAGTTTTTTAAATGCTCTGTAACTTTTACAATTTTTATTTAATTTAAAGAAAATTTTTAGGGTAAACTAAAAAAAGTACGCTCTTTTTATTGGTGTCATTTTAAATGTTTAAATTTCATTGGCGTACCTTTAAATTGTACCTACGAAAGCGGTGAAACCAACAAAAATTAGCCCTTTTTGTATATGTTAACATAATTTATCCAAATTTATTTATTATTCTGAAAACAGATAAGGTGAAAATCAATATTTTTATCATCTTTCTCAAATATATATATATGTATATACTGTAATTTGATAGCACACAATTAAAAATGCTTTTTTTATTTACCATATGTAAATATACACCTAGTTTGTTATGTATGAACCACATGTTGCATCGAATGACTTTCATTACAAAATATATTTTAATTTCAAGAAATTAATAAACCCACATAAATATAAAAATTCCTTCACATTCATCCCCAAAAAATAATTCTCCCCAAAATTCCATACTTATTAGTTTGTTGTTGGGCCCATTCTTAAACGACCACTTCCTACGCGCAGCGACTAGCACTTGTTTCATTTGCTGAATGATCGTCGTTTGTTTAACAAATGCGCACTCCATGCCTACGTTGATTTTCAACAACAAAACCAGTGGTAGTTTTTCGAAAAAAAATGTGAACATATCTAGTGAAGCTTTTCAGTGAGTGATTTTTGGTCAATTGTGCGAAAATTTGGATTTATTTAGTTTTGTTTGAAGGATTTTTCGATACCTGTGAGTATGAGTGACGTATCATTATTTGACATTTTTGATAAGGTCGTGTGAAATTGTAGAAAATGTTGTTTTTTGTGTTACATGGTGAAAAATCTGTACATTTGCACTGATTTTTTAATAGGAACAGGATGTTAAAAAGATAAACATATATAAACATAGTTCATGTATATTCCAAATATATACAGGGTGTTACGACATTAAATTACGATTTATTATACAAATTTCGCAAATTAACAACTTTAATGTGTGTGTTTATATATAAACAAATCATAAACATATATGTTTATGATTTGGGTGGTAGTTTTAAGGGTATATCAACAAAATTTATGTTCACTATAATTTAAAGAGAATATTTTAGTTAGTATAGGTACCTTAACATTTCTATCAAAACCTTTTTATAAACCTATTTATACCAAATTTACAATTTTTGACATTTTGGCGCCCAGCGTGTCAAACTTTTTTAAACGTTCTGAAATCTTCCCAACTTGTATTTAATTTTAACGAGTACGCTGTTTTACATTTCAAAAGTCATAATATTTTTGGTACCAACATCCTAAAACATTTAGTAAAAATTTAAAAAAATTTCAGCAATTTTTGTTTAAGTTTGTTAAAATTGTTAGGGTATACCAAAAGTAGGAAAGTTAATGTAATGTTCAAAATCAGTTCAAAATAAAGTTTTTAAAATTTTATTTATGTTAAGTTAGCACATTTTCTTTGTTTTTACAACTTAAGCTAGATCTGAAAATGATTTTTATCATAAAATAAACCATAATTTTCTTTACCCTTTTCTAACTTATAATCACGTATAATAATTTCACACGACTTTCCAAATGATAAAAATCTCAACATTTTCACCATATAAACATATTAAATCAATACAAAACCCTTTGTTATAAAATTAACAATATTTTGCAAAAAATGGCGAATGCCCCGGTAATAATGTCAAAAAATGTGGGTATATGCACAATGTTGTGTGGATTGTGGGTATATGTAGGCAAAATATTAGTGACTCATTCATGAAAGGAATTCTAATTGTTTAATTACTAACATTTTATCAAGAGCTTAATAAAGATAACATTTTCAAGTACCTAAGTACTTTAGCAGTACAGTACCTACTTGTTTTGAAATTTATCACTTTAACAAAGACATATTTTTATTTATGGTAATTTTACTTAGTTAACGTTATTTTGACTTTTAAATTTCAATGTATTTTTCAATTTAAAAACTATTGTAAGCGTTCTAATAAGACTTAGTCATCATTTTTTATCGTAAAAGTTGCCTTAGTTTTGATATAAATGCAATATTATCTCGTGGGAATGTAAAATGATAAACATTTCAAATTCTGACCCGCATTTTTTTATTACACTTCAAAGAAGTTTAACTGGTTACTGGATGGTTTACTGTGATACTTTAATAATTTATAGTTGATTTTACAAAATAAAAAGTAATAAAAATTATTTAAAACACTATGATAGTTTTTTTCCTAACATTGAGTACTCCATTTTAGTTTAACTAATTTTGGGCCGCTGATTTCAAAAATGTCATTCGTTTTTCTTTAGGATTTAAAATAATTTCGTAATAAAATCCTGTGCTTAATCACCTCAAAATGTAAGTTTTTTTTGGTAGTATTTATTAAATTATTTTGGCTTAAATTTATCTTGAATGTACTGAAGTAATTGGTATACGGCAAATAGATCATATTTATCTTAACAATATGACATTTTAAATACGTACTAAAACTAAAATTTTAATTAAAAAAAAAACAATTATTATTTGACATTTTTGTCGTTTATTTTAATTATTGAATTGAAAGGGCAAAAAAGTAAACAAGTTTCGGTATTTTTTATCCAGATTTAATGCATTGCATAATTTTGTTTTTTTCTACCTTAAATTTATTAAATCGTTTTAAATATCGACTTGAATTATAGTATTATTGTGCAATTTTGTCATCCAAATTTAATGCATTGCATAATTTTGTTTTTTTCTACCTTAAATTTATTAAATCGTTTTAAATATCTAATTGAATTATAGTATTATTGTGCAATTTTGTAATGAAATATTGCGTTGGTTTTTCTTGGGCGTAAAGGTACCGCAACAAAAACAAATCAAATTTACAACAACGACATAAAGGTTCGTCTCGTTTCTCTTTCTCTGCCACTTTCATTACCACTTCCATCTCCTGCTTTTTTTCATTTTTGGTTCTTAAAATCACTTCTAAGTAAAAATACAATTAAAAGTTTAAATTTTAAATGTCAAAAATTAATAGACGCACTTTAATGTGGTTGAACGATAAAGTAGATAAAGGAGCCTTTATACTTTGGTTTGATATTAAATTTTGATAGGACTTAAAAGGTAAATAAGATTTTTGGGTACTTTAGGCATGATGTGAATAAAAAAATATCAAATAATAGTCGAAGAGTAATGTTTATACAGAAACTTATTTACTTTGTTGCCTTTGCAATTTAATTAGTAATTAAAAAAAAACGACACAAAAATTTCAATTTCATAATTTTTACCAAAAAAAAAAACATTATAATTTTAGTTTTGGTATTTAATAAAGCACTTCTCTGCAGAAAAGTGCTTTTTTAAATATCCCTTATATAATACTACTATAGTAATACTATACTAGTACCTATACGAGGTGTGTTCAGAAAATAACGGGAATTGTTAAATTTCGCGGGTTCGGAGGGTTCGGTTGTCATAAAATTTTCTTTATTATGTTGGTATACATGCCCCATGAAGTATAATAAAAACTTTAGCTGTTTTCATTGTTTACTTTGTCTGTGGTAGCCGCTAAGGTAAGACGTGTTTTATGAGCTCGGCGATTTTTCGTTCCTTAAAAGAAATGGATCAAAGAATTTGTATCCAATTTTGCTTAAAAAATGAAATAAATTCTGTGAAATATTAACAAAGGCCTATAGTGAGTCTGCTATTAGTAAAACAAGAGTTTACAAGTGGTATAAGAGTTTCCAAGTTGGCCGTGAAGACGTTGAAGATGACGAACGCCCCGAACGCACAAGCACATTAACAACCGATAAAAACATGGAAAAAGTGAAAGAAATGGTTATAAACCATGAAAGAAGTCGCTGATGATGTTGGTATATCGATTGGCTCATCCCATGACATTTTTTCGAATGTTTTGGGTATGACACGCGTGGCAGCAAAATTTAATGTAAAATTGTTAAATTTTGAACAAAATTTTTGGCCAAAAACAATACTGTAATGATGCCCCAGCCTCCATATTCGCCAAACATGCCTCTGTCTGACTTTTTCCCACACTGAAAAAAAATATTCTTGATTCAAAACATTAAGAAAAGATTCTTGAAGTAAATCAACGTGAATTAAGAAAATACTTTACTATTTTAAAGAATATATTCTCTTCGTTATATATGAGACAAAGATTGTTTTGAATCAAGAATATTTTTTTTCAGTGTATTCCCAAAAATAAAGAGAACCTTGAAGGGCCGTCGTTTTGCAAGTATAGATGACATTAAAAGTGCATCGCTGAAAGAACTAAAGGCTATCCCAAAGATCGAGTTTTAGGAGCAAAACGAGTTGCATTTTTGAAATCAGCAGCCCAAAATTAGGTAATATAGGTGATCGTACTCAATGTTAGTAATTCGAACTATCACAGTGAAATTATTCATTTTTTGTTATATTTCAAATTTTACAAACACCCTGTATAAGGGTTAAACCATTTTACTTAAACTTCTTTAATTTCAATAGATAATAGTATATTGTGCGACTAGTGGGAGAAAGAGGAGATTCCTTAAGCGTGTGCAATCTCCTGTTTTGACCAATAGTCGCACACAATATTTTATTGAACAACCAATTTTATTTGATATTTAATCTGACATCTGACAGCTGTCGATTTTAACCTCAAGCTAACTTTAGCCCATGGGAAAAGTAAAATTCCGCCCACAGGTTAAAGTTAAGAAATGAACTGGGTGTTGAATAAACATTGTTGGTTTTATGGTAGAAGGATTGTACATAATTGCATCGGAATGAATGTTTCATCATAGTGCAATCATGAGATCATTAAATCTTTTATTTTTTTGCTTTAAAAGTACTGGGATATTTTTAGAATAACAATAATCATATGCCAACATATTTCATTTTATATTTATATTTATATAAACAAAATTTTCTGCCTGGAAACACAATTTTTGTTATTATTACAATGAACATTTATTTTTGAGTCTGTTTATTTAAAATTTAAACATTCATATTTATAGCTACAATAAAAGTTATCAAAGTAACATGAAGTATCTGAATTTAATTGTGTTTATACTAATAATGTCATTGGTCATAAAAATATCTTGAAATATAATTGGTCTTTATTAGCTTTAAGCTTTTTAAGTTTTATTTTTATTCAGTAAATATACGGTTGTTAAATTTTATATATAACTAAAAAGAAATCTTGTGAGAATTATAATTATAATAATTATTTAACAAAATATAGCACAACTGTACAAAAAATCGTTTTGACAGAAAAAAAACAAAATTAACAACTTTACTGTCTACAACAGCTGAAGCCTTTCTATTACTTTAATTATTTAGAAGTATTACAGAATCGATATTTAATTTTGTCTAATGGCATATTGGACAATGATTAGGTACTCTTTATAATTATATAAGCAATACTTGACAATAGAATACAAACAATAATATAAAGACAATTTTGTATTCAACTACCACACGCTAGCATAAGCGGAAATTAAATATTTTATCAGTTAGAATTGTTAAACCTATGATTTTTTATATCGATTATATATATTTATAAATCACATCATTAAATGAGAAATTCATTAGATGCTATCAACATACATTAAATTTTGTTTATATAAGGTGTGGTTAATCAATTTATATTAGCGTTTGCTAACATACAAGATAAATTAAGCTTTTATAAACACTTTTTTTCAGAAAAATGAACAAGAAGGAGCCATTCTGCAGAGCCAACAGCATATGTCCAACCCCACAAAGCATTCTACTGAACTTTGTTAGAACAAACGATATCAGAAACCTAAAAAGATTAGTATCCACTAATCCAACTTTATTAAATTATGTTTATAAAACAGATTTAAATAAACCCATACTTTTAATTGCTTGCACTGAAACTGGTATCAAACCTGATACTGTAGAAGCTTTAATTGATTTGGGAGCTGATTTAAACTATGCCAGGTAAAATAAATACATTTCATTGATCAAAAATGTATTAATTAATAATTTTTAGTCCATATGATGAAGACTGGGAGGCCATACATTTTGCAGCAAGCTACACAAACAGCCACATATTAAAAGTCCTCTTGAATAAATCGCCTTTTAAAGTCAACTCCTTGGCAAAAGGCAACAACGCTTTGCACATACTTGTAAAACATGGCAACCATGATTTGGATGAATTTTTGAAATGTGCTGAATTATTGGTTAACTCTGGTATAGATGTCAATCAAGGTGATGAAAAAAATGTGTCTGCTATTTTTTGGGCAGCTAAAAAAGATTATGCAGATTTTATCAAGCTTCTTCTGGATGATAACTTGTTGAATGTAGACTTGGACTCTCACAAATTGAGAGGTAAGAATGCTAGAAGTCTTATAGAAGAGAAATCGTTATATACCGGAACACTTCCTCCAGAGTTCAACACCAACAACTATGACTATGGCAGAATACTTTTTGCTTACTTGAAATCGAATAACGAAACTGCTTTCATCAACTTTAAAAATGGTGAAATTATACAAATGAGCAATCTGGACGACTCATACAACACCTTACTACAATTATCATGTGAAAAAGGTCTAAATGAAGCCGTCCAACATCTCTTAAATAAAGGCGCTGATCCAAACCTACGTACAGAAAAAAACAGCAAATATCCCATTGAAATAGCATCAGAGCAAGGCTTCTACGAGATCGTGCAACAATTATTGGACCACCCACAAATAACACTACCGAAAAAATTGATCATTTACCTCCTTAAGAACATCGACAACGAAAAATTCCCCCACAAAGACCACGAGAGGTGTTACGAAATCCTCCTAAGTAAGCTTAACGTCAACAACAACCTCGCAGATGTGAATTTCGCTGATGAGTATGGTAATACAGCCCTACATTACTCTGTACGGTATGCTGAAGCTGAAAAAACACAGGAGTTATTAAAATTAAATGCCTCTCTTGCCTCCAAAAACATCTACAACACAATGCCAATAGAAAGCATTGAGCCAGAGCTTTTAGAAAAACATTTGAATGATTGCATCGAGTTCAACACCAAATCAAAGACCATAGAGAAGGAAGACTTTCCTGTCACCTTCAACTATAGAAGCATTATACCACCAATACCCAAGAAAGATGTCTGTGTTGCTGATTATGACCCTGAGTTGAAATATAAGGCGTTTTCTGAAGAATTGGTAAAGGAAACTGAGGTTGTTTTTTATATGTCACATGCTCCTGAGTTTAGGCATCTCTTGAAACATCCTGTGATTGTAAGCTTCCTATTTATGAAGTGGCATAGAATCAGATGGTTGTTCTTTGTTAATTTACTGTTTTACATAATGTTTTTCACCTCTTTGTTGCTCTATATTATATACTCATTCGCCAATTTCAACGAAGAAGAGAACACCCCCTTTCTTAACTTTGTAGTGTATCTATCACATTTAATCTTTGCCATAACGTTCTTCATTCTTGTTTTAAGAGAGTTGTTTCAAATTATTGTATCCCCCAAAAAATACTTAATGAGTTTTGAAAATTACATCGAAATAGTGCTTATTTTTATCACTGGTTGCATCCTATGCTCACCAAATGCTGATACTGACTACAGAAAACAATTATCTTCAACTGCAATACTATTATCCGCTTTTGAGTTGGTTTTAATGGTAGGCCAACATCCTAAGTTATCGACAAACGTTGTGATGCTTAAAACAGTTTCGTTTAACTTTTTCAAGTTCTTACTGTGGTACTCATTGCTGATTATTGCATTTGCATTTAGTTTCTTCATATTATTCACAAATCCGACAAGTGAACAACCAAAAAATTCTACTGATACCGAAGATGAAGATATGTTTACAGGCCCAGGCAAATCATTATTTAAAACTATTATAATGTTGACTGGTGAATTTGATGCTGGGTCTATAAATTTCCAACATTTCCCCATACTCAGCAAGTTTATATTTGCCTTATTTATATTCATGATAGCCATAATACTTCTAAATCTTCTTAACGGTTTAGCAGTATCTGACACCCAAATTATCAAAAACGATGCCGAGTTGGTGGGCCACATAGCAAGAGCTCAGCATATACACTATGTTGAAAGTATGTTACTTGGAAACATATTCCCAGAAAAATTCGTTAATTTCTTACAAAATTGTTGCTGCTGTATTCCTAATTGCGAGCTTATAGTTGCTAGACCACTAGCTAAAAGATCCTGTTTGTTCCCACATTATTTACCATATGAGATGACTGTATACCCGAATAAACAGGGTGAGGTTGTCATGCCAAAAACTGTCAGAAACAGGAGGTTTTTATTCAGTTCTTGTGCCTCATGTCATAAGATTTATCTGGATAAAGAAACGGTGAGAAGAACGAATAGTATAATACAAGAAAAGAGGGATAAATTAAAGGTAAAGAAAGAATGCAATCAATTGGATAAAAGGATTGAATTCTTGTTAAAAATCCAACAAGAAAATAAAGAAAAACTGGACTTAATTATAGAAAATTTCTTAAGTGATAAATATGTATAATATATTTTATGTATAATAAAAACAATTTTTATAATTTTAATTATTTATTTCCTAAAAAATTGTATTTTTAATAGGCCCGCTAAAATTTCAGTTATTAAACAATTCTCAGCAAATACAGTCTGGTTAAGTAATGGCCCTTTTGAAGACTTCGTATGACCTACTTTTACAGAAGCCTGTAACAAAAAGTATATATATATATATGACCGAAACTTTAATGTAGTAAACCGTAACCGCGGTGGAGGTGTGCTTCTTGGTTTTAAGGACCATATTACGTTTACCCAATTAGATACCAGTAAACTATCAAATCTCGTACCATTAATCGACATAATAATATGTAAAATCACTAAGCCTTTTATTTGTAACTTTGGTCTAGTATATATTCCTCCTGATACAACATCAGATGATTTAGAAATTTTTACTAGTGCTCTAGAAGTATTCCTATTGAATGAACCAGTTATTCTTATTGGTGACTTTAATTTGCCTAAACTCAATCTACCAAGCTCTTCTTGTTCTAAATATTCTACTTTTAAGTTATTTTGCAATATTTTGGATCTGAATCAATACAATACAATTTTAAACTCTGTTAATAAACAACTTGATCTAATCCTCTCGAATACCACCTGTGATATATCAACCACTCACTGTGAAATGCCATTTGTACCTGAAGACCTTTATCATCCGTCTTTAAATATAGTAGTTACTGGTATTTATACACAAGGCACCAAATTTCCATTAAGTAACAATAAAAAATATAATTTTAAAAAGGCAAACTTCATTAATCTATATCATGACCTTCTTAATACTAACTGGGATTTCTTAACCCAATGCTTCGATGTTGACATAATGGTTAGCGAATTTTATAAAACATTGTACAGCGTCTTTAATTATTCAGTTCCAAAAACTCAAAGTAAAACTCATAATAATGCTTTTCCTACTTGGTTTACCAAAGAAATTAAAACTAACCTTAAAACAAAAGAAATATATATGTAGAAAGAAATGGCTTCAAAACAAGCAAACATTCTTTCTACTTGAATATAAGCGACTTCGTACCCAAACCAAAAGTCAAATTAATAATGCCTATAATAACTATATTTCTACAGTCCAAGAAAACATTAAAACAAATCCATCTGCCTTATGGAGCTATATAAATGAAAAACGCGACACAACACGAATTCCAGGGACCCTTTATTTAGATGGCAAAGAGCTTACAAACCCTTCTGATATTGTCAACGCTTTTAGCATGTTTTTTTCAAAATTTTTTAATGCCAATTCTTCGCAAGCCGATAATACATACTTATCCAACTTAAATTTCTCAATGAATCTTGTAACTGAAGAAGATGTAATTAAAGTCATGGAAAAGTTATCTAATAAATTTACGACTGGTGATGATGGTATTCCTAGCTTTATTGTTAAAGATTGTAGATTTGCACTTGCAAAGCCTATAACATTAATTCTTAATATGTGCATTAGAAAATCTACATTCCCACAAAAATGGAAAACGGCGCGTGTAGTACCTATTTTCAAGAAAGGCGATAAAACATTAGTTGAAAATTACCGACCTATATCCATTCTATCAAATTTTTCAAAGATATTTGAACAAATTTTATACTCCACCATATATTTTAATACCAAACAACGTATCTCACCCTATCAACATGGATTTGTTGTAGGACGATCAACAGTTACTAATTTGGCATCTGTCACCCAATATATTTCTGAAGTTTTGGATAGGCGTGGACAGGTCGATGTGATCTACACTGATTTATCGAAAGCTTTTGATAACATTAGTCATTCTATTTTAATACAGAAACTTAATGGTTTTGGGTTTTCTTCTAATTTCGTAAAACTTCTTAAATCATACTTGACTAATCGAAAATGCTATGTTAGTTATAATGGTTTTTCTTCATGCTCTTTTACTGCCAGCTCTGGAGTACCCCAGGGATCCAATCTAGGTCCACTTTTATTTAATTTGTACATTAATGACTTACTAGCATCACTCGCTTGTTTTACTTTGGCCTATGCAGATGACATTAAAGTCTATAAAAAAATATCTACACCTTTGGATGCTGAATTGTTACAGCTAGACCTTAACACAATTTCCTTATGGTGCACGAAAAATTCATTAAAACTCAATGTTGAGAAATGTGTTGTGGTCACATACACCAGAAAAGAGGTTCCTTACTTAAACCAGTATAAGATCGTCAACACTGAATTAAGAAGACAGAATGAGGTAACTGACTTGGGCGTCTTGTTTGATCAAACACTTTCTTTTGTACCTCATATAAACAATGTTTGTTCAGCAGCCGGAAGGTCATTGGGATTTGTTATTCGATCCACAAGAGATTTTGTAAATGTTTCCTTAATAAGGTCTCTTTATATGTCATTTGTAGCAAGCAAGCTGGAGTATGCAAGTTTGATCTGGTACCCAATATACACATGCCATCGCATAAATATTTATAGAGTTCAAAGAAGATTCTTAAAATACATGTATCTCTTAATTTATGGAACGTACCCAGAACAAAATGCTAACCTGGACAGTATCATGAGTGAATACAAAATATTGCACTTGGACACAAGGCGAGATTTGCAAAGTGCACGTTTTTTATCGAAATTGGTAAGGGGTACAGTTGACTGCGAATACTTACTATCGAAGATTCAGTTTCATGTTCCGAGGAACAACTCAAGAACTTCTGTCTCCTTTCAAATTCCCACTTCCAGAACAAATATTTTATCAAAAGCACCAATAACAACCATGTGCAAAAATGGAAATGAGCTATTAGTTGATATATTTAAATAATAAGGATATTGTTTTTTTTTTATTATTTTTATTTTTTATTATTTTATTTCTTAAGTTTTTGTATTGTATGTTCGATATATTTGTTTTAAATATGTGTTATATATATATATATATTTGATATATTTGTTATACATATATATTTATACCATTGTCCTGTAATTGGGAGAATCCTGTTGGGCAATAAAGATTATTATTATTATTATTATTATTATTATTATAAGCCCTTTAGGACACATGTCACCAGGACCAAAAATTCTTTTCTTGTCTACGAGTAGAAAAATCTCCATATCAGGTAATTATGTAGGTGTTGCAGATACTAAATCCAAGTTTGCAAACAAAACTTCCCGGGGGTTTTTTGTTGGGGGATGATTGGAGGGGGTTGTAAATTAATGCTAAACTGTAACCAGTAAACTCTAAAAGATAAATTGTTCAGAAGGTCCGGGCAACATTTTTGTTCACAGGGGTGAAGTCCGAGGGGCAAATCACTGATTTTTTAAAGTTAAAAATCGCTTACGAATTAACGGCTAAGGATAACAATAACAAGGGTAGTCATGCGCTAAGCACTGATTAAGCACCGATTAAGCAAGTTTTTCTTATTGATAACGACTGATAAGGAAAAAAATCTCAACACAACGTCCACTAACATTGAACGTTGGTCTCTAAGATTTTAATGTGGTTTACCCCTCGGTGAAGTCGTAAGGGTTCGATTTGGGGGTAAAAAGGGGGGAGGTCAATTTTGAAAAATCAGTTTTGATTCAATTTTGCGCTTGGAAAAAATCATGCAATTTTTCCAAATGACAAAGTTGTAGACGTCAAAAAGCCGCGTTGATGGAGTATCTTCTCAATTCCTTAGAAAAATGTTAACATCCTTAAAAAAATTAATAAAACATGCTAAGGTGAAGAAATAATGCAATTGAATGAAAGGATTAAATACCTACTTAAACAAGAAAATAATAAAAGCTTGATTTAGTCATAGAAAACTTCTTGAGTGATAGGTTCAATTAATATGTAGAATATAATGTAAAATAAAACAACTTTTATAATTTTTGTATTTATTTCCAACAATTCTACATCCGAATTCATATCTAATTTTGTCTATCGCCATATTAGACAATGATAGGTACTTTTAGTAATTTTATAGCAGTGGCGGCCCGTCAGGGGAGGCAGGTGAGGCAGTGCCTCATTATAAAGATTTAAAAAATTAAGTATAATTTAAATATTTTACTTTCTATAATATACTATAAATTTTTAATATTTGGATTACATGAATTGTGAAATAGTCAATAAAATTGATTGATTTTATACGTGGAATACCCAGCAACTTTTAAATTATTTAAATTTGAAACGACCGCAATTGAAACTAATATTTATAGCTAGATTTATACTCACGATTGGCGTTAGCCTTGTTGTCTCGTTCTATTACAATGCGATATCATAGTTGTCTCCTTCTCTCGTATTAGCATACGCGAGGCAGGCATGCCTACATCTAAGGAAATAAGGAGGTGTTATGGCAACACTATTTCGGAATTTCAGATAAATTATACTTCACACGTTTTTCAAATTTCAATAATAAATGGTATTATTTTTCTTATAATAAATCGATTTAATCGAAATTATATTTCTATTCTAAAATAAACATATCTATCACTATCGCCATCTTGTAGCCATCACAGAAACCAATAAAATAAATACAGATTCCTTCTTTAGGTTTGTTTTGGTTATAAAATTCTGAACTGTTTAAAGAACAAATCTGTGATTATTTACGCAATATTTTTTTAATTCTTTTTCTGTGAGTTTGTCTATTTTATGATTCTTTTGTAAGTGGTGTATTCTGTGGGTTTAGTTAATTGAACTGGGTAATTTATGTGAATTTAGTCATTATGGATATTACGGTGAGAAATTGTACCGATATTGTGGATGGTGTACTATTATTAATTTAATGATTGGGGCTTAAACCTAATGGTTATATTAATAATGCTGCACTTTACCTCTACACCTTCACGTGGTTCTTGCTGAACAATGAAATATTAATTAGACAAAAATGAGGTTTATTTAAAATAAACGTCATTTATACAATAAAATATATTTCATTGGCAAAGTAGAGGATTCCTTCCCCACCACAGTCTAAGTTTTTTACTTAGTTTTAAGTATAGGTTGTGTACTGCGACGTCAGTTTTTTTAAGTTGGGTTTAAAAAAATTTCTTCGCCTTTAAATGAGGGCGAAACACTGCCTCTGCCTCACC